AAAGTATTGGCGACTGGCCATTAAATGTGATTTTGTACATCACAATCCCCAAAGGCAACCAGAATGCAACAGCTATGGTCGTTTTTGGTGCACATATTAATTTTATTATTAAGCCATCCTGAGTGAACAAAGAACTTACTAGGCAAAAAAAAGTCAAGATAAAAGAAGAATCACTTGAACAAAATGGATTAGGAAAACCTTTAGTTTGCGACCGCTGTCTAACATTTTGTTCATAGTCAAATGACCGACTTGGTGGACCTTGTTTTGCATCAAATACCCTTGTATGCACCTTTCCAACTCGCACTCTTTATTACTCCAGTGCCTGCTATGCAGGCTAGAGTGGTTCTTGGAGAGAATAGGCCAAATAGCTAATTTTGATTTATTATGTGGCTAAATGCAATTTAGGCAAAGTTAATCTCAAGTCAATGCAGCCGGCGTTTTCTTCCCTTGGTGGTACATACTGACCTACAGGGCAGTCTCAGGGACTTTACAGGATGATGTCTTATTCAAGACCTAATGTGTTACATTCTTGCTGCATTTTAAGCTACATTTGTAATCTCTGTAGATCAATTGAAGGGCTTGGTCGAAAACTATGCTAAGTAAGTAGAGCGTTTAAACCCGCTTAGCATAGTTTTTGACCCAACTTTTCAATTGCTATATGTGAATCTATATGTGATTTTTTAAATAAAATTATTTGTAAAGCGCTATGATCAAACCATAGGGAAATAGCACTATATTAATTTATTATTAATATTATTCTCTGAACATTTCACCTGAAAATGAGTCCTGCTAGTTACAGTGACTAGTGCGTGGAGCCAATTGTCTCCTCGTGTCCCCTGCTTTGACCACAGTAGTGTATCATGAGCACCTGTCCTGACATACACACCAAGGGTATTGATGTCTGCTCCATACATGTGATACCAAAATGAGAGGCACTTTCCTCCACTAGCAGTGGTTCCTGGAATACTTGCACTTATCAGCCTTGCTGTGTCATTTGGCTTTCTTGGAAAAGATGCCTCAATGTAGATGTACCTGCCATTACCTGAAAACCACACAGGAGCCAATCAGGGCCTGGTTGTACAGCCAACTCTCACCTTGCAGACACACCCCGTTATTACGGACACCCACCATTATGGACAAAATCCAGCCATCCACCTGGACTCTTACTATTAGACTCCAAACTTTGAGGTGAGTTGAAGTGTAAAATCTCCACCGAATAGGGAGGGCAAGGGTAGGGTAGTGGGACAGCGCAAAGGGTAGCGCAGAGAGTAATGAACACCCACCCCACCCATCAATATCAATATACATCTATGACACTAAGCTGTCACCCCACCAAACACACCCCCCCCCCCCCCCCCCCCAGCATCGGAACCAGCATCGGAACCAGCATCGGAGAGGTGGAGTGAACTTGACATGATGCTCAAAAAAGTCTATCACATCATTGCACTACGAGCAGTTCCTGGTTTCCCTCACAGATTGTCAAGCAAAAACAAACATAGATCGCGTTTAAGTAATGATCCGTGTAAAAACTAGGCAGGCCAAATGCAAAATCGATTAAAAGGTGTAAAGTCTTAATTATTAATTTCAATTAAATGGACGAATTTGATTGGTCAAGATCGAAAAATTGCGAAAAAAACGACGAAAAAAGAGAAAAAAAAACCTTTTTTGGCATTGTCTACCCCATGCCCCTATTCTTTAGCTCTCGGCCAAGTTTGGGCATTGTTCTATGCGCCAATCAAAAGTTAGAGACGAAAGTGTGTTGACCTCGCGAAATTTACGCGACGCGCCATATTGGAGTTGTGAAGGAAAGTGTCTTCCATTTGGTAATCGGACGTGTAAATCTGCCTCCTATCCTCGTTTTTCTATTGTGTAAGATGCATTTATGAATTCCACCTTATTTTATCGTCTACAAGTCTGCTACAAGTCTCTTAAATTTCTTTCAAGAACGTTTGTTGCTGCCCGTAACATGACCACATGTTGACGATGGGACGCGAAGGTACCGGCGATGAGAGTGACACAGTATCTATTGCAATTTGTGTACCCTGGTTATGTGGAAAGGACATTGTATGGCAAAGGAAGTACACATTTTTGATATGGACGCAAAGGCAAAGATAAAAGTTTGCCCGCTTTGACGGAACAGTCTTCAGAGAATATTATAAACGGGACTGAATAAAATTGATTTCACATGCCGTACGTGTCAGGATATCAGTGTCCTTTGCCGTGTATTTCTTGTTGTGCTTTATATGGTTGGTTTAAAATCTATTTTGCTTCAAACGTGCGTTTAAGGATACCTGCAGTGGGATATAGAATTGATTGAAGCTATTTCTCTCCATCCCAAGGTGAAATTATCAATGTTGTTTTATATATCACAGCGCTTCCCATTTCCGGCCGCAGTGAATTTGTTGAGGTAGGATTTATCTGGTTTGCGGATAATTTAGTATTTTTCCATGCACATATATGCAGGAAAGCACATAGGATTTTACCTGATAGTTCTTTTGTATACCGGAGACGAAATTCTGTAGTAGAATTCCAGGAAAAAAAATCGATTCAATTCAGATGGCGCGAGGTTCTGCACGTGAAAATAAAAATACCTATTGAAATTTATACAGACACCGAATCAAGATGTATACAGTAGACTCAGTGTGTAGCTTCCAAACAAAACTGCCATGACTCTAAAAGCGAAAAGGCGCCGGGGAAGTTTGACATCAACACGAGTCGGGTTTACAATATTTCTGCATTCAATCAGTTTCGTGACAGCTCTGGCGAAACCCGAGTGCTTGTTTTGAACATTTTAGTTCGCTGATTGGTATATTACTTGCGCTTTTAGCGATAATTTGAATTTGTTGCCAATTAGCGCATAGAAACTTCACAAGCTTCACATATATAGTTTTTGAGTTGACTATGAATACATATGCGAAAAGAAAAGTTTTTGGAGTGAATTGCAAGTGGAGTAACTTTGCGATCGAAATTCAAAATTCGCGCTTAAACGCTCCTAAGCCAATGAGAGCCGCTATAATTAATTTGACTAAAGCAATTAGCACGAAAAAAATAACTGCCGCTATTGCAGCGGCCTATTGTTCTTTTGCCTAGTTCTTAGCCGGACCATTACTTAATCGATATCTCACTTGTTCACTGTGCTCAGACTCATGAGATATTGAGTTGAACACTCAAAGATAAATTTCATATCTCTGCGCACCTATGTATTATTCTCTATTAACATCGGTGAAAATTCAATTCAGCCCGGGGTGCCAACTTACTAAATTTTGGTACCTCAAGGGAGGGTGCTTATTGGAGACAGGGTGCTTATTCAGGAAAGGGAGCTTATTTCACTGTTTACCTAAACACCTTAGAAGTACCCAAACTACAAACAGTGAACAGGTTAAATCTGCTCTAATCGAATTTAAATTAACTCTAAACTAACAAACCAAACTGTTCTCCACTCAAAATTATAATTTTCAAAATTATAGTTGAGTTACATAGTAATATCGCAATTAAATCACAATTTAAACAGTCCAAGGTTCCTGTGGCAAGTTAAAATCATGCATTTGATTGCTGCTTAATTAAATGGCTGCATTCCAAGTCAAGAAAGCAGAAAGTTTCAGTTTCAAGTTATTTCTGAGGAATCACCTTAAACTTGGTTGAGTTGGTTCACCAGGCTATAATATTGGAAGATGGGAGCATATTGTAATTTTGGAAAAGGGGTGCTTATTGCAAAAACATTTTCAAATGGGGGGGGGGGGCATCTTGGAAGGAGGGAGCTAAATTGAATCATCACAGTAAGTTACTTACTGGTGCCTAGGGTGTGATCCACAGATGGCCCTGTTGTTGACGAAGAAGTTGAACCCAGCTGTCGAGTCCAGTCAAACTGGTCGGTTGTATCTTGTGTCCAAGTACACATGTTTGTTTCAAAGTTGCAGTTTATACCAACATTTGCTGCAAAGAACATTTTGTGGGTATAAACAAGTATACTGTTATGTCACAAATTAGTAACAACCCCCTGAAAGTCTACTAAGTGAACCAAAAGTAGCGATACAATTCAATGGTTATTAGTAAATCCCCAAAAGTAGTGACCCCCTGAAAGAAATGACTCTCTGAAAGTACAAGTATAGCGAGCTCAAAAATAATTTGATTTTTTTTATTATAAGAAAAATCGGAAAAAACAGATTCAACAAGCTGTGTTCCTTTTCATCTACTCTGTTTTGATGTACTGTAGGGATTCTTTTCAACACGTTTTATCCTCAGTTTCATCTCTGTATATAAGACTGATTCCTTCAAATTTTTATTCAAAACAATTTTATTTCATTAAGCTGGATAGGTCCAAATATGGTACCTGTTTTAGCTACCCAAAAGTAGCAATCCCATGAAACTTAAGCAACCTGCAAAGCTATGAGTACTTGACATGTGTATTACATGTAAGTTAAGGTAAAATCTGTTCCAATACCAGAGATTTGGAGGAGCCAAATGCATGGCTCATCTACTCAACTAAATTGTAGCAAAATTATACTACATTGTAACAATTCAAGTACAGTTTACTTCCTTAGCCATCTCTGTCAAAATGTCTGTCATCTTCTCTAAAACGTATTGGAAAGCATATTATGCAGAGTGGTTACTTACGAGGAGGAGTTGTGATGACTGGCACTGTCGTTACTGGAGGTACAGTTGTTGTAACGCTTGGACTAGCTTCTGATGGTATCACTTGACAACTGACACCACTGAGAAACTTGAAGTCGTCAACGGCTATGTCTCCTGTATAACTTGTGCCTCTTACACCCTCAAACACAACCTGTTATATACAGACAACATGTGGCCCGTGGTTTAGTACTGGATTTAAAATCTGGAAGTCCATTAACCATAACCCAGTGCTACTGACAAACTAATACCACCGTGTGGCACTAAATGTTTGCAGGAAAACAATCTGAAATATTCTGTTTAGGATGTTGATTTTTGCCAACGTCCGGTCCGGCTGTTGGTATATTAAAACCATACAGGTCCCAATGTGTGGCTTCATAGCTCAGTTGGTAGAGCATCGCACTAGTAACGCAAAGGTCAAGGGTTCAAATCATGTTGAAGCCTGAATTTTTTCAGGCTTAAATAAATTATTATTGCAATAAATTGCTTAAATTGCATTCATAACTGCGATGATCATTTATTCATTTAATAAGTTTTTTTGTTAGCATCAGCAGTCCAGCTGTGGTAACATATTAGATACAAGGTGGTCTGAAGTTCTATTGGGAGCCACCTTAACATAAACGATTCATATTGCATATCTTCGAGAGTTTCAAGGATAAATTTCTCTTCAAGACAATCGAACTCTTTGCATCCATGCCTGCTCGATTTGGGCAGGCACATTTCTTAAGGTTGCAATTGAAATTAACAATAACAAGTTCACACATCCAGCCATCCCTTTGGGGGAGGAGTGTGGGCGCATTTTACCCAAACAGAGGCTGGTAACCCAGCCTAATTATTAGTCTATTGCACTAACATCTTATTCTGCTGTGGTTGGAACCTGCAAAAATTCAGTGCTACATGGTAGGTGCCTTCTATTTGACAACTAGACTGTGACCTTGAAGTTTATATCGGCTGATAAGCCATGTGTACAATGACCCCGGTCAGCGTACTTACCTTGAATCCAGCCGCATTTCCAACAGGAACTTGTCCAGTAAACCAATTGTTTCCCTGATTTTTTGACAGAGTCCAGATAAGTGTATCTTTGCTGCCTGCAACCACCTGGTACAGATTGAGCGTGCCAATGGTAGTACCGAACATGTGATACCAAAAGGTAAAGCAGTTGGTTGTTCCCCTGAACTGTGGACTGATCAATTTGGCTTTGTCCCCTGTTACTCTTGGACTTGATGTTTCAATGAAGGCATAGTAGCCTTAATGACAACAATAAAGAACAATTCAGAGAAGGACAGTGCAGCATTTAATGTACAACACTCACCCACATGTATCAATCAAAGCAGTCAGTCCCCCTCTGCAATGTACCCACGGGTACAAACCCCTACAGTACCTCCTAAAGGCATGGGCAATGAGGGGCAGCTGCTTTTATTTCTTCCCTGAGCTACAGACAGTTGGACTTGTAATAATGCATGACAACTGAAATGAACATGTGTTTAACACAGGACAAGGGTCCCACCAGGTATTGCTTATCAGTCAACATTTTGTTTCTGGTTCATCATTTTTAGACTGCACAATAGGGGTTGTTACTTGGAGGGAGGTGTTTAAAATGAGATTATCAATAATCATAGTTAACTGGGAGATCTTCTGTTGGCCAGTGGGTGATCTATTGACGCATGCGCAGTTTGAGTTGTTTCCAAGAAGAGTTGCCATTGTTGCTTGCTTGTGCGATTTACCTCCCCACCCACCCACCTCTTGGTCCTTAGTCAGTATTTTGGGATCTGGTAAGTACTTTTCCTTTTATTCTCCACTGAGACATCAGTGTGACAGGTGCCAGGGGGGGTTGACCCATGTGAGGTTGCCATCGTTACCTCCTCATTTGCATTTTGCTCATGTTCATTTGCCTTTTGCCCACGTTACTCACAATCGGCACCTACCCTCCATTTAGCATTGCTCTTCGACAAGTTAACAGGGGGTGTTTACTTGAGTATATATGGTAACTCTGCTTCATCTTACCACTATTGGAACCCAAGCGATCTACTGAAGGACCTGTAAAGCTACTTGGTGTCTTTCCGTTTCGCCTTATCCAATCAAATTGATCACTGGCCATGTTACTCCATGTACAGAAGTCAGCCTGGAAATTACAGTCCCCTAAAATGAAGTCAAATTATAACAATTTAATTGCTTTAAATTATCAATTATACATTCAATAAGAATTTAAAATAATGTTTGTTTTCATTACTTGTAACAGTAATTTTCATTACGAGCTAACTGCATGCATGTTGTGGGACATATTTTCACAGGCAATTTGTTTCACATTTTTCTCCATGAAATAGCAGTATATCCTTTGAATTCCATTGCTTGAATGCACAGTGGTCACGCTGATGCTTGCGTACAGCAGATTGATACCACAGGCTTACCATCCTCTGTTTGTGTGGACTGGTCACAGGTATCTACAACACTTCCTTGGGTACCCAGTTCTATTGTACTAAGAAATATGAATCATATCGTAGATACCTGTGACCAGTCCACACAAACAGAGGATGGTAAACCTGTGTTGATACTAATTAACTAGGAATGGTACATTTACACTGGTCACAAACAGTGCACAAAGCAGAAGTTGTGAAAAATGAAGGAACACTAACCATGATGGGAACATTGGCCTGTAGTCACTGAAACATCATCTATGGCGATGTCGCTTCTGGCACCATTTCCTCTGATTCCCTCAAAAACGACCTGCAACAATACAATTTAATAATAAACAGCCTGAACAGTGATCGTTATATTGCTTTCCCTTAGGCTTTATTTCACCTGCTCTTATGTCCATTCTTAGTCCCTGCTTTTGGGGTTTGAGTTGGCCAACATGGCTCAGAGCAGTTATTAACACTTAGCCCCGGCAGGGATATTTTGCAGGTTGCAGGTTGCAGGTTGCAGGTCAACTGCTAACCCAAACCCCAACAATTAGGCTAACCAAACTAGGCTAACCTTCAGTTAGAATTAGGCTAACGTTCAGTTGGGCTAATTTAAGCTAATTGGGCTAACCGTGACGCCATTCTCTGCCTAACTACGTATGTGATGTTTCTAAAAGTAGTCTCAACCTGCAACCTGCAACCTGCAAAATATACCTGCCCACTTAGCCCTCTATATATAAGCTTAAGTGGCAGGGCTACATTTTGAAGTAGATAGGGAAATGAAAAAAGTAGCCGAGGATAGAGTTGCATCAACACTTTTTCTCACAATCTAAAATACATGCAGTGGAACTTCGATTTCTCCAACCTCCACGGGAAGTGAAAATTGGTTCAAGAAATCGGGAAGTTTGAAACAAGTCCAAGGGAAACAGCATTTGGTTCGAGTTATCTGGGTTTTTGAGAAAATGGCGTTCCGCTGTACCTCAATAATATATTTGCAACAATAAAGTAATGCATCCTGCAAAACATTATTAAAACAGCCTGCACAAATGTTGTCTTAACTTTAAGGAAATATGCCCATAGGTACAAATTTACATATAGAGGGGTCCTAAAGGTAAACTTTATGTCTTGTAGGTAGTCCAGCAGCATCTTTGCTTAGAACATTATGAAAATCTATCAAGCACTAACACTTTGTGATGCATTGTGGACACAATTTGATGCAAGCTCATTGCATGTTGTATTGTTATGCAATTCAATGTGGAGGGGAAATTGCCTATGCGCTAGCCTCCTTCTACAGTGCTGGAAGTGATTAATTTTCTTGAAACATCATGCTTATAAGCTTCATTTATCAGCAGGTGTTCAAGAAAACAAGCCCATGTTACTCCCCAAAGGCTCTTCTTGGGGAAGAACAAAGACATGACTCGAGAGAGCGATGGAAATCAAGGCTAATTAACACGCATAGTGAATAGCCTTTCCTTTCAAATTTATAAATAAGAGGTCCAATTGGACTGGGTTAACCATGAAGTGGTCCATGAACTGGGTCGGCTATGAAGAGACCTATTAAAATACTATATGAAATGGTAACTACACAAAGATATACCTATGGGTAAAAGTGCCAACAAGTACAACGGCGTATATAGTAGAAGGTTTTACGATGTTTGTTTTTATAAGCTGCACTTTAACTGAAGAAATTTTTTTATCAGGGAATGAGCATTACATGTTTTTGCTTGGCTAATAAACTTCAAGATGCGAAATCAAGTGAAGCCTTTGATCCATGCATGGACAACAACTCATGCTTGCCCCAGGCGGCTACAAATATCACACCATATATAATTGCGAATGCATTGCATTGTATAGTCTGAAGTGTCAGCCGTCTCCTCGCTCTAACCCCCCCGTGGGCAGGCGAGAAGAACGTCTGAAGGCCGAGCGTTATAATGTCGTCCGGTGACGTCACGCTCTAATTTATGACAATGTTGCATTTTAAAATTTCATTGAAAACACGTTTGTATATTATACACACATCGCGGCTTGCCAGTTACAAATTCCCATACGCGATATGCCTGGATATGGTTTTATTCTCGTTCTTTCACCCGCAATCGATGAGATGTAAAGCTTAGGAATCGGTCCATGGAACGCGGAGTGAAATAAGAAGGGGAAATTATGAAGACATTGCACGACTTACACATGATGACGGACAAACGCTAGATCAGATGCTCTTGCAGATAAACACAGTGGACGGCCGCGGTAAGACTTAACTGAGTTATTTGGCTTGCCTTGACCTTGAAATAGTTCGACTTTGAGAAAATGTACATGTCATTCCTTTAGTGATATACATCAAGCTTGAGAAAACCGAAGAAAAATCATTTTTAACACACCGGGAAACCGGATACATCACCTCTGAGTTCGGCGTACGTGCTTATTACAATTTTTCCTCGCACCACGTTCACACCTCCCGCCAGCATACTTTGACAGCTTTTGCCTTTTGTGACCAATGAGTAATGGTCATCTATATTATCGGGAACCAATTAGATAGGAAACCAATCAAAATCTACCTACCATTTCCGCAAGAGTACGTGACGTCACCGGACGACATTATAACGCTCGGCCTTCAGACGTTCTTCTCGCCTGCCCACGGGGGGGTTAGAGCGAGGAGACGGCTGACACTTCAGACTATGCATTGTATTAAATTACATTATTTTGGAGCATTTATGATATTTTTTCCTCCTAGTACACAAACTTTTGCGGCTCTATAATCTGCTGCCTTGTCAGACCTTCTGTCTTCAGAAGGCCTGACTGAATGTACATGTGGCATGCCCGACTCATCTGTCAGGAGATGTCCAATAGTCCTGTTCAGTCTCAGATGGAGACTGAACAGTATTATACAATGTATGTAATTTATTGTAACAATTTTTATTAGCACGGCTTTCTTGGAAACCAATTCCATGTAATTGAAGAAATTATGTGTTGAACTGTCTGTCTGTCTGTCTGTCTGTCTGTCTGTCTGTCTGTCTGTCTGTCTGTCTGTCTGTCTGTCTGTCTGTCTGTCTG